TGGAGGGTCAGAGAAAAAGAGGAAGACCCCCTAATGAGATGGATTGGCCAAATGGCAGCATCGATGGACTCAAGCGTGGCAACAGCAAGTAGTGAGGTTGGCCCAGAATCAGACAGTGTTTCGTTCTGCTGTGCATAGGGTTGCTCTGAGTTGGTACTGACTCAATGGCACCTAACAGCAACAACATATGCATGTGAAAGCCAGACAGTGAATAAGGAAGACTGTAGAAGAATTAATGCATTTGAGTTATGGTGTTGGAGGAGAATATTGAAAGTACCATGGGCTGCCAAAAGCACCAACAGATCTGTGTTGGAAGAAATGCAGCCAGTGTGCTCCTTGGAAGCCAGGATGGCCAAACTTCATTTCTCATACTTTGAACATATAGTCAGAAGGGACCAGTTGCTAGAGAAGGATATCAAGTTTGGTAAGGTGTAGGGTCAGAGAAAAAGAGGAAGACCGCCAGCAAGATGGATTGGCAAAATGGCAGCATCAATGGACTTAAGCGTGGCAACAATTTTGAGGTTGGCCCAGGACCAGGCAGTGTTTCATTCTGTTGTACATAGGGTTGCTATGAGTCGGTAACGACTTGACTTGATGGCACCTAACAACAACAATCCATACTGAAGGTGGCATCCTTTGATATTCATCAGTTAAGTGCTTCAAGTCCTCTTCTCTTTCAGCAAGCAAGGTTGTATCATCTGCATGTGGCAGTCGTTAATGAGTCTTCCTCCAATTGTGATGTCACGTTCTTCATGTAGTCCAGCTCCTCAGATTATTTGCTCAGCATATTGAGTAAGTATGGTGAAAGGATACAATCCTGATTTTTAAACCACACAGAATCTCCTTGTTCTGTTTGAATGACTGCCTCTTGTTCTGTGTACAGGTTTCACATGAGCACAATTGAGTGTCCTAGAATTTCCATTATTTGCAATGTTGTTCTGCTTTTTTTTTTTTCCAACACTATAATGGCAAAAATAGTCAATAAAACACAGATAAATATCTTTCTGGTATTTCTGCTTTCAGTCAGGATCCATCTGCTATCGGCAATGATATCCCTCATACCATGGCCTCTTCTGAATCTGTCTTGAATTTCTGGCAGCCTTCTGTCCATGTGCTGTTGTACCCATGTTTAAATTTTTTTTCAGCAATATTTTACTCGTGTGTGATTTTATTGATATTGTTTGAGAATTTCCACATTCTGTTGGGTCACCTTTTTTTGGAATAGACACAAATAAGGAACTGTTCCAATTGGTTGGCCAGGTAACTCTTTTCCAAATTTCTTGGCATACTGTGACTGAGCCCTTTCAGTATTTCATCCTAGCCACCTTGGAAGCCCTGTAAGGCAATTCTACTCTGTCCTACTGGGCTGATATGAGTGGAAATCTGCTCAAACAACAATAGGATTTTTATAACTCTAGATGTAATCTCATTTGGGAAAGGGGCTTCTTTGTTATGTTAATAAAGACATATTAGTGTATTAAAAACCTAATCCCTTTTGAGCTTTAAAAAAATCAGATTAGGCACAGAGAAAAGCAAACAGGGGAAAGGCAGAAGCAGTGTGGAGACCACCAAAGAACCAAAGAACGCTGGGGCTAGAGAAGTGGAGACAAGGGTTTTGCCCAAAAATGAACAGAGACCATGCCTTCCCTAGAGCTGGTGCCCTGAATTTGGACTTCTAGCCTCCTAAACTGTCAGAAAATAAAGTTATGTTATTTAAAGCCACCCAGTTGTGGTATTCCTGTTACAGTACCACTAGGAACCTAGACACATGAGAATATACAAACGTGAATATGTACTGATCTGGATATATAAGCCTACCAGCCACTCCATGGGAGAAAGATGAGGCTTTCTGCGGCCATAAAGATTTAAAGCCTCAGAAATCCAATAAGGGTCACTTACCAATAACAATATATATATAAGTGAAGTGGATTGTGTTGGACTGCTAACTGCAAGGTCTGCGGTTCAAACCCCCCAGTCGCTCCTTGGGAGAAAGATGAGGCTGTCTGCTCCTATAAAGATTTACAGCCTCAGAAACCAGAAGGAGCAGATGTATGCTGTCTTATACGGTCACCATGAGTCAGAACCAACCTGATGGCTATGGGTTCTATAAGAGACTCGTGCACCTGATGCACTTCACGCTATATGTTATGGTGTGGTGGTGGCGGTTGTGTGCCAGCAAGTTGGTTTCAACTCATATCAACCCTGTATAAGGTTTCCAAGGCTGTAACTCTTTATGGGAGCAGCAAATCTAATCCTTCTCCTGAGGAAAAGACTGGTATTTTAACTGCTGAGCTCGCAGTTAGCAGTCCAGCTTATAATCTACTATGCTACCTGGACTATAAAAGGTATAAGAAAAATAATCCCTGTCTTTTAAAGAAAAATCCTGAAATAGTTTCAAATGAAATGATATGGCATCTGGAGTATGCTAAGGGAGAGGGATGAGATGTGAAAGAAATAAGAATTATATATAACACTGAACAAAGTCCCACAGGGAGGGGTGAATAGTGCCCAGGTGACTTATCTTAAAAGCATGTGTTAGCCCTTTTATTCCAAGGGAGACACCATGAGTTGTTGTTGTTAGGTGCCATCGAGTCGGTACTGACCCATAGTGACCTTATGCACAGCAGAACGAAACATTGCCCAATCCTGGGCCAACCTCACTACTGTTGCCACGCTTGAGTCCATCGATGCTGCCACTTGGCCAATCCATCTTGCTGGGGGTCTCTCTCTTTTTCTCTGACCCTCCACCTTACCAAACATGATATCCTTCTCCAGCGACTGGTCCCTCCTGACAATATGTCCAAAGTATGAGAGACGAAGTTTGGCCATCTTGGCTTCTAAGGAGCACTCTGGCTGCACTTCTTCCAAAACTGATTTATTGGTTCTTTTGGCAGCCCATGGTAATTACAATATTCTCCTCCAGCACCATAACTCAAAAGCATCAATTCTTCTATGATCTTCCTTATTCACTGTCCAGTTTTTGCCTGCATATGAAGTTATTGAAAATACCATGGCTTGGGTCAGGCGCACCTTAGTCTTCAAGCTGACATCTTTGCTCTCAACACTTTAAAGAGGTCTGGTGCAGCAAATTTGCCTAATGCATTATATCCTTTGATTTCTTGGCTGCTGCTTACATGAATGTTGATGGTTGACCCAAGCAAAATGAAGTGTTTGACAATTTAAATCTTTTCTCCATTTACTTTGATATTGTTTATTGGTCTAGTGGTAAGAATTTTTGTTTTCTTTACACGGAGGTGCAACCCATACTGAAGGCTATGGTCTTTGATCTTCATCAATTAAGTATTTTAGGCCCTCTTTGCTTTCAGATAGCAAGATTGTATCATCTGTGTATTGCAGATTGTTAATGTCTTCCTCCAGTCCTGATTCCATGTTCTGATCTGAAATCAGCTTGAACCTCTGGCAGTTCTCTGTCAATGTCTGGTTGCAGCCAGTTTTGAATTAACCTGGTACATGCCCATGAGAAAGATGAAACTTTCTGCTCCCACAAAGATTTACAGCCTCGGAAACCCTATACACGGTCATTACGAGTTGGAACTGACTTGATGGCACATGACCACCACCATCACCTGGTACATATCAGCCTCTAAAATAAGTGGTGAGAAGCTGGATGTAAGGTAAAGATTCAGCCCAGGCTTTGCAGAGCTCCCAGCCTGGTGGGGAAGTGGACACTAAAAAACAGGCTACAGAGAACAGTCTGTGTGGGGATATACTGACTAGGGGAGGGGATGCTTCCCAGAGCCCAAATGAGTTAGCCAAGAGAGCAAAACCCCAGAGGCAAGAGAGCCAGACAGAAGAGGAACAACTGCAAAGAGTTCCATGGGCTGTTAACAATTTGAAGGAAAATGACAGGAAGAAAACGGTAAACTACTCTGAATCCTGGTCTCCTTCTACCCAGTGCCCTGGTCCTCAGTCTTCTCATCCTTAAGATGAGGGTCAGGATTGGCTGGGGTCTCAGGGCCCTTCCAGTTCAAAGGGATTCAAAGGCTCATTGTTGGTGAGGAAGCTGGTGAGGACTTTGGCTACCACCTCCAGCCCAGCTGGCCCCCACTCATAGGGAACTTGGGCTATATATCCTTCCTATTGTCTCATCTGAAGAGAGTCCCTATGGAAACGGAGTAGCTGGCGTGTGCCCATTAACGTGTGAACTGGGTTGGTTTGGAGCAAGGTGGAGACTAGACAAGAAGCCCTTGACTGCCTGGCTTGCTGTCCTTCTATGCTAGTCATCAGAAGAGGACGACAGTCTCTGAGGAAGGCTGCCAACTGAGACACTCGCTCCCAAAGGCAGTATCTGATTGGCATCTGTGGGTGTTTGTTCTGTGCAGTCTCCATTTTTGTCAGTCCTGTTGTGAAGTGTCTTCCAGTCGATTCTGACTCATAGCGACCCCACACAGGGCTTCCAAGGCACAGCTGGTAGTTTTGAACTGCAGACCTTGTGATTCCAAGTCCAGGGCTGATCTTACAGCGCCACACCAGGAGTCCTTTGTCAGTCCTATGCCCATCTTTTCCTGCTTTGACCCTTGGCACCCAGCTCTGTCCCCTGGTCAGCTCTGCTGCCCCTTTCCCACCAGCTGCGCCGCCTGTCTCTTCGGATCAGGCTTCGGAAGAAGGGAGGAGGCCTCGGTTCCGGCGGCGGAGCTGTCCTCACGTGCTTTCCCGGCCGGCCCCCTCCCGGCCGTGTCGATGCAGCCAAGCCTGTTCCTCTTCCCGATTGCGATTGCGACAGGCCGGACTCGGCTCCCGAGCTCCCTGCCCCGCCCCGCAGCCGACTCGCTCCACTCCTACTTCCTGAGCCCGGCGGCTGCAGCCCTGGAGGCCAGGCCAGGCCGCTCCCGGCCTCCGGGGGCACGTCGGCCTCAGTCCTGTCCTAGCCCCTGGGCTCAAGAAGCTGCCGCCGCCGCTGCCCGGGACATCCCGGCGCCCGTCTTCCTCCCACCTTCCTCCCAGACCTCCCCGTCTGGCCGATCGACCAACTGGCCGCCATGCGGGCCGCCTCCCCTTGTGGCCTTGCCTGGGGGCCTCTGGTGCTGGGATTCTATGGACTCCTGGCAGCGCCCCAGCCTCGACTGGTGAGGGGGTTGGGTTGCTCAGGTGGGATGGGGGCGGATGAGGGTAGGGAAGAGGGGGCTAAGGCTCTTTCTCGAACTCCACTACCTCCCAAACTGGCCTCTAAGTTCTTCCCCCACCGCCACCACCCGTTGTGAAGGTGCCCCCATACCACTCGGAGGACCAGACCTGCCAGGACCAGGATAAGGAGTACTACGAGCCCAATCATCGAATCTGCTGCTCGAGCTGCCCGCCAGGTGAGCTGCAAAGGCTGGCGGAAGCCTGGGCCAGGGAGATGGCTAAGAGGGATCTCCAGCCCTCTCACTGCCTGTCTCCAAGGAACAACAGCTGGTGGACACAGTGAGGGACTCTGGTCATCCCTCAGTAGACTGAGATTTGCCATCTTCACTGAGATTTACTTGTCTTCATTGAGTTGTTTACCTCACTGAGCAGTAGCTGGAGAATTATCCAGGGGGAGGCCGAGAGAGACTGAGGTGACAGTGGAATCCTGGTCTACTAACACCCTTACTGCCCCATCCACTCCCTAGGCACGTATGTCACAGTTCAGTGTAACCAAAGCCAGAACACAATTTGCTCCCCGTGTCCCCCAAATTCCTACAACGAGCACTGGAACTATCTCACCAAATGTCAGCTGTGCCGCCCCTGTGACCCAGGTAAGTGGGATCTGCCTGGGGAGGGTTGGGTGTGCCTGGAGTGTGCAGCCCTGTGCTGAGCTTCCCCTGTGTCTGCACCAGTGATTGGCTTCGAGGAAATAGCCCCTTGCAGCAGCACCAAGGAGACCCAGTGCCAATGTCAGTCAGGAATGGTCTGCGCCCATTGGGATCCTGAATGTACACACTGTGAGCTACTCTCTAACTTCACACCTGGCACTGAAGGTGAGCTCAAAGGTCAGAGGTCACTGGGAGCAGAGGGCAAGAAGGAGGTTAGTTTGAGTAGAGACAGCATGGTACAGTGCTCTCCCCAGGTAGTTCTCACTCCCTGAGAAAGGCTCACAGAGAGGTTTGCAGAGAAATGACAGGTGCAGAGGACTCAGGAAGGGAGAGATTTGGGCAAAGTAGGAAGCATTTTGGAATGGATCAAAGATCAGGATGGGTAAGATCTACAGAACAGGGTAAATCCAGTGGGCATAAAGGAAGATTCCCTTCTGGCCATTTATCCTGGCCGGCCCTGCCTTTCTCTTGCCAGGTGAAGACAGCAAAACTGACAACCATGTTCCCTGCAAGGCAGGATACTTCCAGAACACCTCCTCCCCCGTCCCCCACTGCCAGCCCCACACGAGGTTGAGTATGCCCCTGGCCCAAAGATGGAGTTCTCTCACCCTCTCCCTTACCTCCCCTGTCTGCCAAGAAGCCCCATCTGCTGATGCCCTTCCCTGCTAATGCTCACCATACCACACTCCCAGTCCCATGTGTCCACTTGAGTAGAGGTACTGGTGGATGGGAGCATGCAACGGTCATGGGCCTGTCTTTCCTGCACAGGTGTGAGGACCAGGGTCTGGTGGAGGTAGCTCCAGGCACTGCTCAGAATGACACTAGCTGCGGGAGCCCATCAGGAACGCTTCCAGAGACACCAGGTGAGGAACCCAGGCTGAGGGGCACAAGGGTAGTCAGTTCTGGGGAAAGAATTCTACTTTCAGACTCTTAACTCTCTCCTTATATTTTATTTAAAAAACGAATCCTTCCACCTCAGGATTGGGGCAAGAAGAAACGTTCATTAAAAAGGAATTGTGGAGAATGTCTGGGCTAGTTTACAAACACACATGCAACACACACTTGTAAAGACAATGGAATTGGGAAATAATGGAATTTTCCATGAACTTTTTGAACTATATTAAACATATAAATTACAAACTACATGTAATACTATGCCAAGGAAACTGCCGCACTAAGGTATAACTCTCGCTCGGCTGGTTGTCACCATCTTGGACACGATGCCATCATGTAACCCATTCATTAGATTGGCTGCCTCTTGCCCACTTTCATTCTTAGAGAGATGATTTCACATTTGACTCAGTCTCCATTATTTCTATGGACTGGTTTCCTAGCCAAGCAGATGATTTCAGGATGTTTCTAATACAATGACTGTAACTGTTATTACATGGGGGACAGTTTACTTCATTAACTTTTTTTAATTACCAAGTATTTATAATCACAGCTTCTGGTTTGTGAGAGCTATTGTGTCAGGAGTCTGTGAAGCACTTTGCATTCACTCACTCTTAATCCCGTTAATAATGCTATAAAGTAGGTTCCATTATTATTCTCATTGACTAGATAAGGAAACTGAGGCTGAGAGGTTAAGTGGCTTGCCTAAGGTCACCAGGTGGGTAACTGGTGTTCCTAAGACTATACTCAGGTCTTTCTTACTCCTAGCCCATGCTATAATGCCTGCTCACTGCAGAAAATTCAGATAAGCAAAACTAAAAATAACCATAGTGCCATCACCTGGTATGTGCACTCTAACATGTTACTGTGTCCTCCCAGATGTTATTCTATGTGTATCAACACATCTTTTTTTCTAAAAGTGTAGTTCTTTTAGTGTCTTGTAACCTGATTTTCCATTCAACAACACATCATAATTATTTTTCCATGTTCTTTTTACTACTTTTTAACTACCTGTCATATACTACTTGCATTTAGAACATCTGTGAGCTAATCCCTCATTTTATAAATGGAAATCCTGATGTCTAGAAAGGTGAAGTAACTTAAAATGTTACACATCTGGGCAAGCTGACCTGACTCCTAGTCCAGTGTCTTCCTCTGCCTTCCTCTGCCTTCTGCTCCTCTTTGGTGGTGGTTATGTGCTGTGGAGTCAGCTCCGACTCATAGCGACCCTGCGTAGAGTTTCTGAGGCTGTAAATCTTTATGGGAGCAAAAAGCCTCATCCTTCTCCCACAGAACAGCTGGTAGTTTTGAACTGCTGACCCTGATTTGTAACCACTACACTACCAGAGCTCCTTCTGCTCCTCTTTAGGCAACAGATTTAGGTGGATCTGAAAGGGCAAAACTCCCAGTACATTAGTGTCCAAGTCCCTCCTGACTTTCCCCCAGGTGGCTAATGGGAACAATGAACTCCATGCTATAGATGGTAGTACTAAAACCCACAGAAGGACAGAAATCATTCACTGCTACAATCAGGACCTGAAGGAGCTCTGGTAGCATAGTGGTTACGAATCGGGCTGCGAACCGCAAGTTCAAAAGTACCAGCTGTGCGGCAGGAGAAAGACGAGGCTTTCTGCTCCCGTAAAGATTTACAGCCTCGGAAGCCCTGTACAGGGTCGCTATGAGTCAGAACCGACTCTATGGCACATAACAACAATCAGGACCTGACCATTTAAACTCCCAGCCTCCCTGTTTTGGTTCCTCCTGGAACCTGCCCTGAGCAAGCTGGCATCCCCAGCTCTCCCAGGCAGCCATGGACAGAGTTTGGAAGCAAGGCTCGCCCATATTCCCACCCCTGTAAACACTCCACGGGTGGAACAGGGCAATCCTAAGTCCTCCCACAGTGGCCCTTCTGGAAGATGAACAAGTCCACAGACACATTGCTCTTCTCTGTGGCCTGAGTCTGTTTACAACCCTGAGCCCCACCCTTCCTGTATGCTTCCCGCCTCCACTTCCAGCCTTTCAAGACTAGCTGCATGAGCTTCTGTCCTTCACCCACAGGACTGCCCCAGTTCCCGGTCCTATACAGGGGGGCACCTGCACACCCCCAGATCTCCAGGATGCAGTCTCTCCTGGCTGTCAGATGGCCTCCCAAAATCCAACTTCATTCACCCTCTCTGTCATTTAAAGGAAGCTTCTCTAATTCTGCCTTTAGGAACTAGTTCCCCCTTTCTCTGTCTGGGTTGTCCAGAGAACTGGAAAGCTCTTCCTTGACTTCCTTTGTCCTCTGCCCTCCTGGGGATTATCATCCCACTTTGTCTGCAGGAACGATGTTGGTGCTGGCGGTCTTGCTGCCACTCGTCTCGCTCCTGCTCCTCACCACCGTCCTCGCCTGCACCTGGAAGAGCCACCCCTCTCTCTGCAGAAAACTGGGTAGGAAGTAGTCAGTGGCAGGCAGGGGGCAGGCTGGGCACTCTGTCCCCATATGGTTGGACTGGGAGAAAGGAAGGAATAGCCAAGCCTTCTGCCCTTTGCACATCCTTGAGACTCCCAGTGCCCATCCCAATGCAGACATCATCCTCTTCATCCAGCCCTTATTCTGGGGCTGGAGATAAGGATTAGCAATAGCAGTTCCTTCTGGGACCAGAGGGTAGGGGTGGGGCGTGGGGCAGAGAAAGGCTGGGGTCCGAGGTTTGCCAAAGTTCTCCACCCATTTCATTTCCGTTGCAGGATTCCTACTCAAGAGGCATCCAGAGGTAATGGGGACAGCTGAGAAGGCATTAAAAAGGGACAGAGGATGATGAGGGAGCCAGGTTGGGGGAGGCAGGGCAAGAGAGTGCAGACTTATTTGTTCAACAGTCATTCATTCATCAACTAATGATGTTTTGAGTACACCATGTGGTAGGCACTGGGGATTCAGCAGGGAACAAAACAAATACGTGCCCTCCTGGGGTTTATGTTCATGTGGAGCAAGAATAAAGTTAAACAAATATGTGTATATCAGATGGGGGAAATGGTGGCGAATAAAGTCATAGGGGAGTGATAGTGGCAGAAAATGGGGTATGTTGTTGTAGACAGAGTGGAAGACCATTCTGACAAGCTGACATTTGAGCAGAGACCTGAAGAAATGAGAGAGCTGCCATGAGGATGTCAGGGTGGGAAAATACTCCAGGAAGACTGATCATCAAGTGCAAAGGCCCTGAGTCAGGGAGGACCGTGAGCTGCCTAAGCATTGGGTAGGGGTTGGGAGTTAAAGTCAGTGGTGTCTGGAGCCCACATCAGTGGCTCATTCTCTGCTTCTCGCCTGCAGGGACCTGAACTCAATGTCGATGCCAGCTGGGAGCCTCAGAGAAAAGACCCACATACCCCTGACCTAGTAGAGCCACTTCTGCCCAACTTTGGAGAAATGCCCCCAGCCTCCGTCAGGAACGCAACAACCCCAGTGTTGGAGAAGGAGGTGCTACAACAGCAGAATCCTCCAGATCTGGCCAGGGAGGCAGAGGCTAATCTCGGGGATCAGGGTCCAGTGGCCCATGGTGAGCCTGGGTCAGGCCGGCAGTGAGAAGTGGGTGTGCAGAAGGGTGGGGGGAGAGATGGGTGGCAGGGAGAGAATACAAGCCAGACAAAAAAGAAAAGATGCAAACAGGCAAAATAGAGACTCCGGCCGCCAGCCACCAAGTCACAATTAGAGAAGTGGGAAGAGACCCAAAGCCCCAGAAATAGAAATAAATACAGAGCTTAAGTAATCCATAGCAGTGGGAGAGAGAACAGGGAGGGAAAGCGAGAAGGCTGAGAATAAGGCATGTATGACACTGGGGGTGATGTTGGGGCCACACAGACCTTCCTTCCTCAGTGACCCCTTGGCCTCTCTCACTTTGCCTCCCTTCCCACAGGCACCAATGGTATTCATGTCACTGGCGGATCTATGACTGTCACTGGCAACATCTACATCTATAATGGGCCTGTACTCGGGGGAGCACGAGCCCCTGGAGACCCCGCAACACCTCCAGAGCCTCCATACCCCATCCCAGAAGAGGGTATCTCTGGCCCTCATGGCCTTGTTGCCCCTCACCAGGAGGATGGTAAAGCTTGGCACCTGGCTGAGACAGAGACACTGGGGTGCCACGCCCTCTGATGGGACCATGGAGCCAATTTGTTACTCATGCTTGATGGTGTCTGGGAAGAGACGAAGTGGGGTACATGGCACCTTCTCCCTGAGACTGGCCTCCCACACAGGATGCACAGGGGACCTTGGTTGGGACCCTGAAAGCAGAGTCCTGCGGGTCCAGGTCTTGAACATTCTCAAGAGCAGTGCCAGAAACTGACTAGGCTCAGTGCCCTACTCAGGGCTCACTACCACCTGGCAAACCAGAGCCCTCACCGCAGCCCCACCTGCACACTGAGCTATACCAGCTCAGCGCCAAGACCTGACAGGACAGGTGTGCCAACTGCTGCCACAGAACACTCAACATGGAGGCCAGCATATGGTCACTTGCAAGAACATCACCAGGAACTCTGAGGGATTCGTGGTGCTCATCCCCAAGCTTCAGAGGCCCTGCAAGGGCCCACATTGTACATGGACTGAGGTACCCCTGATATGGAAGGGAGGGTGTATGAAGGAGCCCACAGCCCACCTCCTGAGAAGAAAGGAAGTCATTAAAAACCTGGGGGTTTGGGTAGGGTTTCTCAGGGTGAGTTTTGTAGGGAGAGGAAATGGCAAGTGTATTTATAAATTGTAACCACATGCAAATAAAGACGAGCTTGTGACCCAGATAATTTATTTAGTTGGGATGTATATAGAAATACTATTCTACTGGGGCAATGTCAGTGGTAAAGGTTAAAGCTTTAAAATGTAATCCAACAAAGGCATTTCTATGAGGGACTGGTAATACGTAATCCAGGTGATAATAATGGCTGTTGATAACTTGCAATGTGCCAGTGTTTAAAATACTTTATGATATTAATTTACTTCATCTTCACAGCAAACTCAGTAGGTAGGTGCTATTATTATTCCCATTTTATAGATGATGAAAGTGAGGCACAGGGAGGGCAAGTAATTTGCCAAATTCAGCTGAAGGGATCTGTATCTAGTTAGTCTTATCTCCAGAGGCCTCTTGGACAAATGCTTTATATGCAATGCCTTAACAGAATTCTTTTTGACTAAGAAGAACAGGCTGACTTTCTCTAGTAATCGGATGTCTTACATGTTCTATCAGCTTTATGTCTCAGTCAGTTCTCAAAACTCTAGTCACAATGCAAAGTAAAAGAATGTTCTGTGAGGTTGCTTGATGGGAAAGATTTACACTTGAGATATAAAATGTGAGAGGCCAAAGTTCGGCATTATGTTGTCAGAGTTTAAATCTAGGCCAGCCTCCTTCAGCTCAGGAGACACGCTCATGCTTTTTCCTCTTTTGGTGTTTATTTTATTTTCCCAAAAAAAGAGCTTGATATCTCTCCAAACTCACCTCTTTGTAAGTGTTTGGGCCCTCTAGAACTGATCCATTGTGCAGGTCAGTAGAGACAGTCTTTACTTGAAAGATTGTTAGAGGAGCCACTGCCAGCTGACCGCTCCTTCCATAAAAGGGCACTGTTATGGGTCTAATTTTAACACCTCTGCTCCTGGAGCCCATCAAGGGTGTATGGCTGCAAAACACATGCCCTAGGCATTGTCTAATCCAACTGAGTGGGTAGGTTATTTAAGGTTGGCCATGAAAGTATTTGATCCAACTTCTTTTTAAGAGTAAATAATGCTAAGCTATATCTTTAGGAAGGAGCTCTGGTAGCGTAGTGGTTACGAATTGGGCTGTGAACCGCAAGGTTAGCAGTTCGAAGCTACCAGCTGTTCCACAGGAGAAAAATGAGGCTTTCTGCTCCCATCAAGATTTATAGCCTCAGAAACCCTGTACAGGGTACTCACTATGAGTCAGAACCGACTCCATGGCACGTAATAACAACAACATATCTTTAGGGGTCCTGGTGTGGCGCTGTGGGTTAATGCACTGGTCTACAAAGTCAGTTTGAACCACAAGGTCGACAGTTCAAGCTCACCAGCTACTCCTTGGAAACCCTATACAGGGTCGACAGGGGTCGGAACCAACCTAGGTGGCATTTAACAACAACAGTATCTTTAGGGAGAGTTAAATCCTCCCAACTCTGTAGTATGCTAGAGCCAGATGATTGAAACCTAAATAATTTTCCTAAGGTATTCAAATTAAAAAAAAAAAAAAAAGGTTATTTTTCAACAAAATAATTTTTTTTTTTTTTTTTAAAGAATTGATGCTTAAGGCACAGCCCAATGGGACACCGTTTAAATTTAGGAGCGTAGATTTCTTCACTTTTTTTTCCCCAGGGTTGAGTTCATTCAGCTCCAAGACAAAGTAACAGAGAACATTTGATATTGCAGGGAGCCCCAGTCTAGAATGAAAAGATACACAATCAATGAGGATTGCAAACAGCCTCTTTGATTGTTATCATAAGATGGGAAGGGATACATAATAGCAGATAATGAGTAATTAAGTCAAATCCGGCTAGTCCCTATATTATATTTGAGAACCCCAGCTTTTTACCACCATATGGAGGAGAAGGCCAACACTGAGTACAACCAAAGTCAACATGGGTGTGGGGAGAGCAGTGAGGAGGCCAAGGCAGAGTCCAGCAATAGAGATGGGTACAGTTGAGTGTATGGTGGTGGCAGTGGGGATGTGGGTGTGGTACTGGAGTCATTAAGAATGGCCCCATCCAAAAAATGGAGTGGCTCACACTGACAGTCGTGACAGAACCTTTCTTCTGCTTTCCCAATAGATGTCCTCACCTTTCCTAGAACAGGAGTCCCTTTCCGTAGTAAGGCTTTGTCGTTGTTAATTGAAGGCAATTAACTCTTCTGACTCATAGCAACCCTGTGTAGAGGGTTTCCAAGGAGTGGCTGGTGGGAAGGTCCACCCTCAGACCTTGGGGGCCAGTGAACTATCCCCCCTTTGTCAAGAATTGGTTTAGGATGGGCATAGGATACATTTCTGGCTAGTGAAATGTATAGGGAAGCCTTTCTTCCTAGGATAAAAAGTAAAAAAGAGCATCACTAAGCTAAAGTGTTTACTCCTCTTTACCTCGCTTCTTTCTTCTTTGGGGGATGTTTGTGTGAGGACATGATGTCTGAGGTGTGTCAGTTCTTTTGCCATCATGAAGGAATAGCCATGGGAATAAAAAGCCAATCCTCTGAGTGTATGCTGATGTTGTTGTTTAGTTCCATCAAGTTGGTTCAAACTCATAGTGACCTTGTATAGGGTTTCTAAGGAGCAGCTGGTGGGTTTAAACTGTCCACCTTTTGGTTCGCAGTCCAGTGCTGATCCTACTGCATATACTGTTGTTGTTATTACCTGCTGTCGAGTCGATTCTGACCCATAGCGACCCTGTATAGGGTTTCCAAGGAGCAGCTGGTGAGCTTGAACCACTGACCTTGCAGTTCAAACAACTTTGCAGTCTGACGCATTAGCCCACAGTGCCACACCAGGATTCCAACGCATATATAGGACCTGGAAAAACCTGGCCCCTGAGGCATCATTGAACAGCTGACTCATTCAGCTAAACTGTGGGATTCTGTTTTATCAGAAAAAAATTTTTTTGGGATTTGTGTAAATGACAGTAAGTCAGGTTTATTTTTCTTTTTCATTTTAATTTGACATATTTCCTCTTTGAGGATAGTTTATTCACGTGGTTCAAAATTCAAGAAGCATGGGAAGTGAACAGTGCAATCTGTCTCTCCCACTCCTGTCTCTCAGCCGCTAGGTCCTCACCCTGGAAGTAACTAATGTTACTGCTTCTGATGTTTTGCCAGAGGTAATTGATGCATATGCAAGCAAATATATACAAAGATATTATTGTCCTCTTTTTTTCCACATATGATAGCACACACTCTATATTCTTCCCCTTTCATTTTTCATTGCCCATAATTTCCATCATATTAAAAAGAAGACCTTCCTGGAGCCCACCTAAATGCCCATTCACAGAAGAATGGTTAAACAAACTTTGGCACATACACACAATGGAGTACTACATGATGAGTCTGAAACACCTCACAACATGGTTAAACCTGGAGGACATTCATTATGTTGAGTGAAATTAGTCAATCACAAAAGAACAAATATTGTATGAGACCAATGTTGTAAAAAGTTAAAAAAACAAAAACATTTTCTTGATGAAAGAAACAATCTATGATTGTTACGAAGGAGTGGGGAGGGAAAATTATCCATGGGCTAGGGGGATGACATCAGCCAAGATACAGGAGTTGGTTAGCAGAGGAAAGATGAAGGTAGCGGGAGACACAGGGAGAAATGCAATAGTTAAAGTAAATAGGAGTCCTGGTGTGGAACTATGGGCTAATGTGCTGGACTGCAAAGTCGATTTGATCTGCAAGGTCGATGGTTCAAGTTCACCAACTGCTCCTCATAAACCCTATACTGGGTCGCTATGGGTTGGAACCAATTCAACAGCACTAAACAACAACAACAAAGTGAATAGAGGTAAATACTATTAATTGTTGGCATATGGAGGGGATTGCAACCATGTGATGAAGCAAAGTATATGATTTGTTGAATATATAACTGATGATATGCTCTGTAAAGCTCCACTCCATTCACAATTAAAAGATTAAAATAAATAAAGCCTTCCTCATTCAGTTTTCAATGTGCATAGTATTCCATTATATGGCTGTATTATTAAACTTGATCCTTTTTGAAGAGTTTAAATTCATTTCTACTGTTAACTATCACAAACAATTCTAACCAATGTCATTTTGCACATGTGGGAATATAGCAAAATAAAAATTTGCTAAAGATAAAATTGCTGGGTCACAGTGTCCATGGGTCCATACATTTTATGTGTTAATAAATATTGCCAAATGCCCTCCAGAGAGATGAATATCAACAGTTCTTTTTTTACAGGCCTACTTTGTTCTGCTTCATTTTAGGGGGAGAGCAGGTGGTGGGACATTACAAGGCTTGCCTGTACAGAGGAGTTTAAGCCGCAGCTTATAGGATCATCTTTGGAACTCATACCCATAGAATAGCATTCTCTAGTGAGGCAGCATGAGTTGTGGGAAGGGTACTAGATTCCGAGTTCAAGCTTTGTCTATCTGTCCCT